AATTACGCAAAATTTTCGCCGCCTATTACGAATTATGTTAAAGTCTCAGAGCTGATTACGACTTTACGATTTGCGGCTAATGTCCAATTACGAATTACGTTGATTTTTGCGGAGGCTGCCTACGAATTACGAAGTCTAAAACGGCCTGATTACGCCTTACGAAAAAGGGCTTGCAGGCCCTCGTTACTGGGCCAGCAGCCTAGCAGTAGCATCATGTTGTTTGTTTTGCATAACCGGTAAACTGCCTTTTTGGCATAACCATGGAGGTAGAAAACACGTAACACACCGGTTTTGTACATGTACGTACAAGCTACGTTAGACCGGACTGTAAGGTTTGAACCACTCACGCCGGGAAGGTCCCCTACTCTTTTTGATAAGTGCGGTGGGTTCTTTAGCGTGCGTGGGGTGTGACTCTCCCCAAACACGGGACGTCCATTTACCGTCCTAGCCGAAGCTAGGTACTCATTTACACCTGAGTGAAGTGAGGAAAGTCGTGTAAAAAAGAAAAAAGTACCTTTCCCATGGGCACAGGATCAGTGGCATCAGGCAGGATTCGAACCCGGGACCTCTTGGGTCTGAGCCGAACACTCTACCATTATGCCACACGACCACTTGTCATGTGCATTCGTAAAAGCCACTAGCCTGGGTTCCAGACTAGCACTGAGATATTTTGTGTCCAGTGTGCTATGGATCTGGAACCCAGGCTAAAAAGCCACTGGCTATTTGAGAAATAGCCAGTGGCCAGGATTATCAACTGCCTGATCCATCGATTTTGATGCTCCGCCTCGGTTGTGTATATATATGTTACTTTTGGTTATTTTGTTTTACTGTTGTTGGTGTTTATGTCTATCTGTACAGTGCACGCCTGTAAATCAGTACATTGTACTGAGTGCGTCTACCCTGTATAAAGAAGACAGAAATAAATAAAACATGCAACTGTACAGCTGAACCAATACTGGAATATTACTAGGTAAATAAATAAAATACTCTTACCTCTGACTTTACCACCCGATTCTGCATCTTCTCTGACAGCCTTGTACAATTAGCGTTCAACTGAAAGGAAAAAATAGGAAAAGATTTAGACCTACTCGCTATTCTTACAAGTCCTGAAACTAATTGAGCTAGGTTTTGTCATACTGTACTGTAACATATGTAAGACCTACTTGCTATTCTTACAAGTCCTGAAACTCATTGACCTAGGTTTTGTCATACTGTACTGTAACTGTACTAGTTACTGTGGCTATACAAATGATCGCAATGACATCACAACCAACAAGCAGACTGCAGGCAAAATGCAGGTTGTGGTTGGGTAATTTGCCTACCAAATAATTTGCATTTGCCTACCAATAATTTGCATTTGCCTACCAATAATTTGCATACGCTTACCTACAATTGATGTAAACAAAAACAGCAATTGCTCGCATTTGCACATGTATCTATAACATGTGTCTGGTATACCTAAGTTATGCATGAGGGCCTGCATGGGGGGTTTCTGAAAACGCTGTACGCTGAATTCGGAAACCTCTCGATTACACTTTACGATATATTCCAAGTGGCTACAACACATTGGGTAGAATTAAAACGCGTATTACGCTCTACACAAAATGCGTCAATTACGCTCTACGTCAATTACGCTCTATGGAAAAGGGCATGCGGGCCCCCATGCATGTCTAGTACCAACATCTCTCTCTTGCACACTGTAAGAGTAACAGTAACTCCAGCTGATCTATATTTAGTTCACCAGGCTGTTGGGTCAACATTAGCCTGGGTGCCAGCCCCATAGCACACTGGACACAAAGTATCTCACACTCACAGGCTCACTGAGATACTTTGTGTCCAGTGGGCTGGCACCCAGGCTAGGTCAACATGATACAATGACCTGAACAAAGTACAAGTGGAAGAGACCTGCACACAGCTTTCCAAACTAGGGATGTAACAACTCGAACCCTTGTAGTAGAGTCTTCCCAATCCGTAGTACAAGAGTGCAGCTGATCCCTGCCCAACTGTTGCCAGTGCCCCCCCTCCACACACACACACACAGTTTTTTGCAAATGGCCCACATGTAACCCAATCCACCAGCAGATAACAAGAAACAGTCCCAGTCGTTAATCATCTCACACTGTCAACTGTAGACCACTGACCCCTGGCAAAACATGCTGCAACGAAACAACATGGAAATTGCTAGGAACTGTTAGAGTAGTGAAGTACATGCATTTCACATACTGCAACAGACACGTAACTGTATGAATGATAAATATTGATATGGACAATTATGGCAACCTAAAGAAAGGGTTTTGATACAACATCTTTCACAACGTTTCAGTGATTGCTAAAAATGTAAATGAAAATTTGTAAATACATTGTACTAGCATACCTAAGAGCTAGACGTACCCCTAGGGCAATCTGTATTAGTATTAGTACTATTACATTGTTGCTTCCGAGAAAACATATTGTTGCTGCTACTTGATAATCTTACATGAAATGTTTAGTGTAAGACACAAGGTAATGCCATAACAGTGAGAAGGCTTGCAAAGCCTAGACTTGCAAAAGTGCCAGGTATTTCACAGGATAAAAATCTTACTAAGGTGTGACACTGTTTAACAATGGGTGTTATCTTGTTTTCATCATTCCAGTTGGCTGGTTTGGTAAGAAGAATAATTATTGTACGCTCTTATTGACACAACCTGCATTACATTATTTCATATACCAACTCACTTAAGGGGAGGGGGGTATTAATAAACTTTATAAAAAGCATAGGGGACAATACTAATTGTACATGATATAGCTGGAGCTTCAGAAGACAAGTTGTAACCTTGTCCAAGATATTGTGTCACATTTAACCTGAGTCTAAACAACAGACTACAATTGTCGAGTTGTCACATGGCCACAGAGAAGTTGTTGACCTTTAGCACATGCATGCGCCATGGGTCTTGTCAAACAGTACTTCTTACAAGCACAAACCTACATGTATGTATATTACAAGCTCTGTCTGCCAAGATAACAAAAATTGGTTCTTTCCTTAGAACTCTGTAATAATACTAGTAGTACCCTGCCATACACTCTGATCAGGACAAGGTTTACCAGTACTAACAAAAATCTGTCAGGTCACATGTAATGAATTTCATTTTGCACCCCAGAAAAAACGTGTTTAGAGAAATCTCACAAGTCTCACTTGTCCAATGCAAAGTCAGCCAGAAGAGTGTACTCTTGTCTGTATATATAAACTGTACTTGCCGCACTTAAGATCTCTCCAACTGTTTTTTAAGTGGTGGATTACATGGATAATATGTAACCATGCAGGTCATCACTGACATACATGTAGAATGGATTGCATCATTAATCCAGGTCAAAGTGCACTCTGTTTCAAACCTCCTTGCTCTAATATAATATTTGTAAGAAATGTTAGAACATAAAAACATCACCAAGATACATTTGAGATATAACTTTTTAAGGCAAGCACTATTAGGTGAAGATCTCATAAAATTCAGGAACCTAGAATGGGATATTTACAAAATAAACTGGCAAACTATTTTGAGCAGGATGTTTTCTGTTTAGGTAACTTATTAACTTTAGGTCAGTGAAGCTTAATTACCGTATGATGATGACCCTTAAAATGTTTGCAAACAGTTAAGTTCAGTTCAGTTAAACGTCAGACAACTCAGATATCTTTATGACGCAATCCTGTCTGGTTCTGAATGTACGTCAAACTTTCCAGTAGTGTATGTTGACAAGATTCAAATTGTACTTTGTGGAAGTAACTATAAAAATAGTGATACTCTTGTGTTCAAGGCATTCCTTGTAATGAACAGTGATTAAAAGTTAGCCTGGGTACCATCCGGATTTTCGCTACGCAACGCTCGAAAAAATCACAGATACCCAGGCTAATTAAAAGTTGATAAACAAATTGAGATTTTCAATGTTCAATATTTAGCATTAGAATGTAGCATTTCAGTGTTATATACTCCATATTTTACACCCTGTAGACCACATATGGACACATGCGCATAATTTTAGTCCATCTGGGCAGGAATATGCAGTAAAGACAACATCAATAATAATGAAATTTGCATAATAAACACACGTAACATAACATATGTTTTGAAAACTGTAAAGAGGAGAACTTACACTCACTGCTTTTACCATTCATCTTTCATAATTCAAGGTTTTCAGTCCGACATGACATGGCACAAAATTATTATGACAGGAACAACACCCTTGTTTCAGTAGGAAGTGAGTCACTACTTATAGTACTATATAAAGTCTGCCCATACAGTTACACACGTACAACTTCTGACAGAATGTAACTTGTCTATCTTCTCCATAATCAAAACTTACAGTTCTTTTTCTGCTCCCTTCCTCAGTAGTTCCAAGTAGTTGCAACTCACATGGCACAAACTGACATAACGAAATTCCCAAGGGACGTCCGGTCAGAATAACATGGGAGTGACTGCAGCTGAAGTTACATTACAAGTAGCTTGTTGAGTTAAAATGTCTCTAAAAGTCCACGTAAACGTTTTACGTCAATAAAATGACCCTTCACCTGTCTAGCCTGGGGCAAACTACTTTGACCGATGAAGTCGGTCAGGCGTTAACATGATTGGCATAAATTATTTTGCTTGTGTCCTCGCTTGTCACACCAAAATTATCGTGGTCACACCTATCAAAAATGATGGTTCAAAACTCACTTTGGGAAGAAACAAATCATTCCGATCACCAACAAAGTGTTTTGAAGAGGTAACTATTAGAGGAATCGGGGTAACTCAGCCGCCATATGTGCTACAGGGACGAGAGAAGGGGTAATTTTGCTGTGAAAGTACAGTAAAGGCCACATGCTTTCTCCTGACAGCTCCAGGCAAAAAGCGACACGCTTTGACATGCTCGACTGAACAGCCGATTACAGATTTGGGTTGGGATTTTGTGCGTACGTACATTGAAGACAGGATCGTAGTCTTGCTTGTCCCCTCCCTTTACAGTGTTACACGTAAAACAAACATGAACGCCCATAACCTCCACACCCTCAGCGATTGTTGGTTTAGACCTCAGTCGCCCCCCCCCCCTTCTCGACCACTATTGCTGAGTAAACAAGCGCCAGTCCTTTGTTTGTACGCTGATGTTTCACAACTTCGTGTCACATCGACCACAACGATCGAGTAACCGAGCGATCGGCGATAGAAACACACTCACCAGACGATAGAATATCTTGTGAACAGCGTCGGCGTCCCACTCGGAAGGTTTGGCGCCAAAAATACATGTCTAAAACCTCCAGAGAATCACAGTTTTCTCCGGGCACAGCCGTTCGGTTTTGGCGCTGGACATCCTGAGGGCCACGTGACTGTTAGAGGGCAGGACTCAACTTCGACCTTTTGGAAGCGACGATGCGCGTTTTAGGTTTTAAAAACTGGAGAGATTTCGGAATCTATGGTGAATTTAGTCCAATTAGATCATCTAGATGAACTAAATGCTCATCATGACATTGATATATCGGTATTTATTACAAGTAGGACTGTTTTTGTACGTACTTTTTGGTGTGCTGCGCCCCCCGTTCGAAGTTGGCAAGGCGGTGCCCGTGGATCGACTGCGGTTTTCAGAGGAACTGACGTAGTCAGAAAAGAATTTCCTATGACTGCCGCTGTCAAATTCTGCACATTCTGTGAAGTGTGACGCGGAAAAGAGCAACAAAGCATATAAGCGAAGTGTGGAAAGGCCGCGATTTGTTTGTAAATATTGCTGCAACTTAATGAAAAGGTGTTCATGATTCTACTTCGAGTACTTAAGTGATCTTTAGTATCTCTCCCAGAGCCAGACCGAGTTTTAGGATCTTTGAGAAGCAGCACCTTCTTTTAATTTCGACGGTTTCAGATCTCGACAAGGTTGTTACTTCCGTTTGTAATTATGTTTATAGACAAAGGAAGTCTGTAAACCGGGAGGCCGGATGGTAAGCTCCCTGTAGCCGGTGTTAGCCTTTAGCCTCTACCAGGCTTCGGTAGGCGGCTACAAAAAGGGTAGAAAGTGGCCAAATAGACTCGGAGATTAACATGCCAGGGGAGTTTGTCTGCTGGGAGAGAACATTTGCCGCACATGTTATCTCTCTATTTGGCCAATTTCTACTCTTTCCAGCCGCCTCCCGAAGCCTGATAGGGGCTACCAATTTCTACTCATCCAGCCACCGTCCCAAAGCCTGGTAGAGGCTACCACTGATATTTTACATACTAGTATAAACGTTAACTATTCATTTTATATGGTGTACCCAAAATTCTATTTTGCATCTATTATTAATTCAATTTGCCCAAAATCATTTCGAGCTCGAGATCTGATTCCACTAGCCTGGTAACCAGACCGCCGTGAGCTCAGCGCTATCCCTTCGGCACAGAGAGCGTCTGGGCCCGCCAACCAGGCCTCAATTACCACGCTTCGGGGGGGGTTTAGGTTTCTTCGCTCACAACGCTTTGGGTCGGCGGCAAAAGAAGACCAAGCGTAATACAGGAAGTCAGCGGATACAGGGAAACAGCTGGAGATAGGGCCGTGGTATAACTCGCCTTGGCTAATGGTAAAGGCCGGGGCCGAAAAAATACCGCCAAGCCGACCAAAGGTTTGGTACCCAGGCTATGATTCCACAGGTTGGCACGCAGCACTCTTCAAGTCGACATCTTTCGTCGGTAAAATATCAGATTTTGTAATTCTCACGGCCATCTGTTGAATAATGATATCAATGCAAAAATAATATTTTAACTTCGTTATTCACCAGAACGTCGGCTGAGAAATGAATTGGCCAAAAACCATCCTACAATCCTACGTAGCTACATTCAATGATTTATACTCTGGAATAATAATGCCATTCATACCTCTCGCAAAGCATTTAATATTCCACTCCACACATAAAAGAAATCAAATCCACGAATAACTACTAGTATATTATAAGTAGCATTGGTAGTAATATTTATGGTAATTTTTGTTTACTTTATTCGTCAAAAAACAACATTGCAGACTGAAACAGCCTGAATTGTGTTGTACATTACATGTACATTCACATTTACAATTGTAACAATTTAGCGTTAAAAGATTAAGTGTTAAAAGAAGTATATCCGATAATGACGTAAATATGAAATATCGATAACACATTAAAATATAGACAATGATTGAGTGAAACAACTTTAAGATACAAATACAAGGCGGCAATAAGATTTTACTGTTCATCATCATTTTATCAAGTCCTAATTGTCAGTGCAATTTAATAGCCCTCGTGCATAAATTTGCAATAAACTCTCCATTAATGATAGCGAGTATGCTCTGTACTTAAGTCTGTTGTAATTTTATATTGTTAATTGATTGATCTAAACTTAATGTGGTACTTGTTAGCTTATTAGTATGTTATATTGTGTATATTTAATTTGTGTATCTTTTGGCACCCGAAATCAGCCATGCTGCCTGGGTGGCCAATGTATTGCCTTGTTGCAACTGAATTAAAATGAAATAAAATAGCGAGTGCATAGAATACTAGTATACTCACATGTACAGAATAACGCGGCAATGTTGAACTCCTTCTGTGCGGGAATAACGTTGAGTTGCCGCTTTTCTTCAGTGGAATATACTATATATATTTGACAAAAATCATTGGCGATGTGTATGTGGCGATGTCATCACTTCACAGAGATAAAAGCTACAGCTACAGCTACAGACTGCCCACGCCCTATTATATAAATCCACACAGTGATGATGCCATTGAAGTTTCCACGCAGATCCGATATATGAAACGATGTCCCGTTGGCGATATTCTTACCAATGAAGCTATGTTTGATTCGTCTCCACAGCGACCACAGTGTTGACGCGCATATTTGGAAGAGCAAAAGCAAGGTATCGCGTCAGAAATAATTAGTTTACACTACAGGAGCACATCATAGCCTCGGGTGGTGTGAATACTGCATTATGCTATACAGGAAGATCTACCTACATAGCAACAGGGGTCGACGCTACTGCCGGAAACCTATTGAGAAACGTTGTGCCGAAAATGAAAATGTTACAATGAATAATATTCTTGGTAAACCTCGTCCGTGTTTTTCCGAATATGGCTTGGTGTATAATTTTATTTACTTTGTTTATGCATGGAGCTATAATTTGCCATTATAGCACCATAGTTTATGTTATAAGTTATGTCATGTTTTGTTGAGATCATGATAACGTTAACGACACCCAAGTCAGCATAATATTAACCATATAAACGAGGTACAATTACAGCAACACAAAACATTCATGCAACTACACTGTACTTCACGAAATTCTATCCGATGAAACACACCGTTGAAGTCGGCGTAAAGGCACACGCAAAAGGAGATGTACGTAAAGAATAGTCTGTGCAGTGCTGGAAAAGATGCAGGAAGCAAAGATGGTGGTCCCATGATGTAGGAGCAAGAAGCTTTCATCGCGATGAAGGCTCCTTCAATAAATGGTAGGAGCAAGGAGGTTATATAACCACCTTGGTAGGAGCTTTATCATATTGACATCAAACCTTTGCACGTAAAAAAAGCCAACACACGTATTATTGTCCATAACATTTATATGTTTGTTTGTTTTTGTTTAGATGTGTTTATGTCCATGATGTCTCTACACTATGGGCCATCGAGCCTGAAATAAGCAATAAACATTATCGTCAAGAGTATTGGATTCGAACTCGGGACCTATTGGTTCTGAGCCGAATGCTCAGCCGCTACGCCACGCGACCCCACTCGGAAAAAACATTCTGCTTCGCCTCAGTTGAGGATGGCAAAAAGCAATCGGTGGACATGACCGGTGCACGGATATATTTAGACAATAACTAGGGAACCAGGTCGGTGTCAGCGCCTAATTGGTGTCAAAGGTCAAACGCTTTCCCGCACGTCCTACGAACCTGCCTCCCTAACAACAGCTGGCCAATCAGATCCGTGCATTTCCCACCAGATAGCCAATCAAAGACAGGTAACGTGCGGACCATCGGGGTAGGTGGCATTCCTAGAGACGAAAAACGGCGGCGGTAGTGTTGAAAACGATCTGGTGTAGGAGCTGTGTTGTCAAGTTTTCTTCAGTTTTACTGGACTAAAACAAGCAAGTGATCTGATAGAGACATCATGGATGGACTACTGCAGCCGAAGGAAGGGGAATACACGGCTACAGTCTACCGAATGGTGAGTTGCAAGTGGTTGAAAATCTGAAAGGTCCAGTGTCGTATCTGCTTCTAATCACAAGTTTCAGTCTAGTTTCAAAATTATGTGAGTTTTCGTGAAGTATGCCATAGTTACACTGAAAGTTGACGCAAGTTATAGAGGTTACATCTATACTTAACAATACACAACACTTATATATAAATACAATGTAATATAATACAACGTGTAGTATGTAGTGCTGATATGCTGTCAAAGTAAATTCAAGGTATCATAATTTCAAAGTATGTGCCTTTCCAACTTTTATTTTCAAAATAATTTCACGATACATGGATGGCCATGAATTAGTCGTGCTCTTGAAGTTTATGTACAGGTTCAAAACTACACACCAGTACAGGAAAGAACAAAAGAACAGTTGTCTTGATCTTTTTGAAGTACTTGTTACTGATACCTACTAAGATAAACGTATTTAGCATGTTTATCTCAGCTACATGTAGGTACTGCATGCTATTTTACTAGATTGCAAATTACTGTACAAATTGTGTTATCAAAAATGGTAGATTGGATGGTGATATCAAACAGGTGTTCAAATCCAGGGGTTTTTCTAGAAAAATTTAGCATGAGGGAGCAGATAGCAAGGCAAGGAACGAAGTGACCGAGGGGGGATTTTTTAATAAGGGTTCAATTTGAAAATTGGTATGAGGGAGCTGGCTGGTTACATGAGGGAGCAGCTCCCTTATTCCCCTGTTTAGAAAAAACCCTGAAATCCATCAAAGATATCTTTAGGAAAATTCTTCTAAACATGAGCTTGGTTGCTAAGATCACTTTATTTCACCACAGATCAAGGAGGGCAAGTTTATTGATGTTGTCCATCTGCTAAACTTGGAGCTACAGAGTCACCCCAAGGTAAGAACCATCATACTGGTAGTCTCTTGATTTACTGTAGTGTCACTAGTGTGGTATTTTGTTGTGCATGTATATGACATGATGATGGTGTATTTTAGTTTCTAGAGCATTCAGCCTGGGACCCATGGGTCCTGGGTTCGATTCCGCCTACATGCCCAGATCTTGTGCCCTTGGGAAAGGCTTTACGTCACTTTCCTCACTTCACTCAAGTAAAAATGAGTACCTAGCTCTGGTAAGGGACGTCCCTCGGATAGGACGTTAAATGCAGGTCCCGTGTTTGGGGAGAGCCACACCCCATGCACGTTAAAGAACCCACCACACCTTTCGAAAAAGAGTAGGGGCATGTCCTGGTGTGTGATGGTCCAAATAGTACTATACCGGGTAGTCTGGAATCTGGATAGGCCTTTTTAGTCTTCGTAATCCATAGCATAACCATCATAATTGGTAATCAGTACATTTGCCATAATGTGTAGTTGTTCGTAACTCAGCTCTGAAACTTATTGAGTAATACATAATTCGTAATCGGCGGCAAAAATTTTGCATAATTCGTAATCACAGCACCTCTTTTCATGTGTATTGTGTTAATCCCATCCCCTAGCTCTGGTTAGGGACCTCCCTCGGATACGACGTTAAATGCAGGTCCCATGTTTGGGGAGAGTCACACCCCAACCACGTTTAAGAACCCACCACACCTTACGATAAGAGTAAGTAAGTGTGTAGGGGCATGCCCTTGTTGACAAAAGTTCTACAGTCCAGAGTTGATGATTCACATGGGCTTACAATACAATTGTATTCATGTTGCTTACTTACTTAAGTTAAGTTACTCTCTATAAGGCAAAGATTATACATGTGTATAATGTTAATCACTGTAACTCCCCTTATTTTCTCCAGTCGCGCCCAGCCCTGTCCCTGCTGGGGTACTGTTACTACCAGTTGCAGGACTTTGTGAATGCGGCCGAGTGTTACGAACAGCTCTCCCAGCTCCACCCTGAAGTAGATGACTACAAACTCTACCACGCCCAGGCCCTGTACAAGGCCTGTATGTACCAGGAGGCTACCAAGGCTACCTTCACTCTGGAGAGTCCTGCTTACCAGGCTAAGGTATAGACATACATGTACAGTGTATTCATCAATATTACAGGAGTTCAGAAATTATGAGTATGAATGAATGCCTGTACAAGGCCTGTATGTACCAGGAGGCCACCAAGGCTACCTTTACGCTGGAGAGTCCTGCTTATCAGGCTAAGGTACAGACATATTCATCATCAATATCACAGGAGTTCAGTTTATGAGTACTTTATGAATGAATGAATTAAATTGCCAGTACAAAGCCTGTATGTACCAGGAGGCTACCAAGGCTACCTTCATGCTAGAGAGTCCAGCTTGCAGGCTAAGGTGCAGGAATAGTCATGATTAATATATTACAGGAGTTCAGTTTATGAGTATATATATGAATGAATGCCTGTAGGCCATGGAGGACAAAGTGCTTTGGAGACAACTCTCAGGATTGGTTCGAGCGGGAGCTCAAACTAAGTAAAGTAAGTATGCCTGTACAAGGCCTGTATGTACCAGGAGGCCACCAAGGCTACCTTCACGCTAGAGAGTCCATCTTACCAGGCTAAGGTATAGACATAGTCGTCATTGATAATATTACAGGAGTTTAGTTTATGAGTACTTTATGAATGAATGAATGCCTGTACAAGGCCTGTATGTACCAGGAGGCTACCAAGGCCACCTTCACTCTGGATTGTCCAGCGTATCAGGCTAAGGTATTCATCATCAATATTATCACAGGAGTTCAGAAATTATGAGTATGAATGAATGCCTGTACAAGGCCTGTATGTACCAGGAGGCAACCAAGGCTACCTTTACACTGGAGAGTCCAGCTTACCAGGCTATTATAAGGTATTGATTATGTTTTGATCATCAGTATTCTGCAATGTTACAGGAATTCATTTTTATGAATGAATGAAAGAACTTTATGCACCAAAAACAGTTACTCAAGCAACTGGATATGATTAATGGAAATGGTCAAAATCATACTGTTTGCAAAATCATACCCAGTTGCTTGAGTAACTGTTTTTTGGCATATCTTATTACCTGGATGTCTCTCTTTAAAAACCTTTAGTAGTAGGCTTTTAACGATGTATCAAACAACTTAATGGTATGTTTTTGCTCTTACAAACTGTTTCCCTTTCCTTCCCATTAGATTCTCAAGCTCCAAGCAGCCATCAAGTATGGAGAGGAGGACCTGTCTGGGGCAAAGGTCAGCACCTGTCAATCATTTTAGATGAACTCAAACTGAGAGATGTGATTTTAGATATTTGGATGTGGGAGGAACGAAATGATAGCCTTAATTTGTAAGCTGGTTACCAATTGAAACCTATTTTTAGCTGCCAAGTGTCTTTTGGCCTTACTGTAGAGAGGACCAAAAAGACTGCAGCTAAAATAGGTTTCAAGTGGTAACCAGCTTACAAATTAAGGCATTCAAAGAGTAAGCAACACAGAATATTCAAACCAGGAAAATGCAGCATATCAATGACCTACCGTGTCTAGCAGTTAACCTATCACCTACGTAGATGGAGTGTGGCTGATAATGATGAGTAGAAATAGTATCAATTGTGTCAGCTTGGAACGTTTACTGTAATACATAGGCAATGTAGTGACAAGAGTATACCCCTGGGAAAGATTCTGCTTACCTTGTTGTTGTCACCAAAGAAAATGTTTGGAATTCTTTTGTCACAGAGCCTTGTAGAGCAAGGACCATCTGAAGACCCTGACACGGACATCAACCTTGGCTGTCTCCTCTACAAGGTGAGCTACATGTATGATATACCTACAGGAGGTATTTTGTTTAGGATATCAGGCAACCTTGTGTTTTTAGTCATGTCGTAAATATGCGTTTAAATGACAATTTTGTTTGATACACCTGCCAAAAATCACCCCAGAAACAGAAGTACAGTATGAGCCATCCTCAAACTTCATGTAAACGTCATGTTGTTTGTGGGTAAGATATATTAAACTTTATTTTGTTGTGTTTACCAAATGTTTTTCTTATATTGTAGGAGGGACGTTATGAGGAGGCATGTCAGAAGTTCACCACTGCTATGCAGATCCTCGGCTACAAAGCTGGTGAGTAGTATTTATTTTCTCCTCTTGACTTTATTTCAAATCATTGCCTGAGAAACGTAAAGAAAAGCTTATTGATGAAAAAATAGGAATAACCATTTCATTGTTCAAAATCTCAATGAAAATCTCTCTAAAGTTTGCTATGATAGAAACTACAATTCAGCTGTACAAGCTTGTAAGGGGGCTGGAGAGACTTCCACTAGAGAGTTTATTCGAGGTAGCTGATAGCCAAACAAGAGGACACAAGTATAAACTGAAAGTGCCGCTAGCGAAGAATAGAGCTAGAAGTCAGTCTTTTAGCGTCAGAACGGTCAAGGACTGGAACTCTTTACCTGAATCAGTAGTGGAGGCGAAATCAGTAAATGAATTCAAAAATAGACTGGATAAGACCTGGGCAAACATTATGCACGTCTCAAGCGAAGGATAGAGAGAAGATCGGGACAACACAGGCTTGAGCCTTTCCTACCCGAAGACGGTATGCAGGTATGCAGGATAGAAACATGTCGAAGCCGGTGTGTTACACCGTAGGTCAGTTATGCTGGCTGTACTGATACAGGTACAGGTACAAATTTCTTTGGTTTCAGCATTCTTCTGGTAATGCAATGTACACTGTATGACATGTATCTGTGTGTTCTCTTCATCCAGATCTGTCCTACAACATAGCCCTGTGCTACTACAGCATGAGACAGTATGCACCAGCCCTGAAACACATAGCAGACATCATTGAGAGGGGAATCAGGGACCACCCAGGTATGATATACATTTTACAGTTACCTTTTACTATTGGGACTTAACATATCACAATGCGGCCATACATTGTTACTACATTGTATATAAACTTTTTTGTCTAAGGTAAGACAGCCTATTTTACCTTAAAACTGCAATACCGTGGGCATGTAACATTGGGATAATACAAATATTACATTTTCTGGACATTTCTTTATAAAGCAAGTTGAATCAATCCCTCTCCATTGGAAATACTGTAAGTGTCATTCAATTTAGGAAGTGTGGAAGCCAAAATAGGATGATGCCTTATGAGTGTGTTTAGAAGCTGTTTAGACTCTGGTAGTTTGTGGTGGTACCACAAACTGAGTGTGCCTCGTATGGCCTGTTTTAACGCCTACCATAAATGTCAGAAATGTGAGATAATTGCACAATGTGTTGGAAAGTGGAAGTACCGGTAAATTACCATCACCTTGAGACATTTTTTCAAATTGAAATATTTGAATTTGTAGTGCAAAAATGTTACATAATGCCGCTTTAAGAGACCTGGGATCAAAAAAAAGACTGTTGATATAAACTGTATTGACCATCCAGAGTTGAGCGTTGGCATGACGACAGAAGGGATAGATGTGAGGAGTGTGGGGAACACACTTATCTTACATGAGACTGCTCTCATCGAGGCATTCAACCTCAAGGCAGCCATAGAACATCAGCTCAAGAACTGTAAGTATTGCACTATACAGTGTCATGATACCTGTAATCTCACATAGGGTCGTGTGGCACAATGGCAGCGTGCACGACTCGGAATCAAGAGGTCCCGGGTTCGAGTCCTGACATGCCTTCGATCTTGTGTCCTTGGGAAAGGCACTTTACACGACTTTCCCCACTAAAGTCAAGTGAAAATGATTATTGTCTGTCCTGTATTGTACGTTTCTATGTGTGGGTCATAACACCAGCAACAGCTGCCTGTGTCCCACGTGTTTTGCACTGTTGCAATTTCAATAAATCTAAATCAATCAAATCAAATCACATGATGACTGAGCAATTTCCTCTTCTCCTAAACAAATAAAGCTTTAAGGTCAACGGCCTGGACCAGACGGCTGTCACCATGGTAACTGGTAGTGTAGCAGACACCTTGTGGTGTTGGGTTACATTATGTGTAGCAAGACAGACAGTTTGAGGGGCTGGCCACTACATATATGTATGGGAATAAAAACAGCAGTAGTTACGCTAGACCATTTTGAGGTAAAGATTATGTATTTGCTTTGCAAACGTTACTTTCTAGTTCTTAATCTGCCCTTGCAAGAGCCCTTGCAAGAGAAAACAACATACAACAGTTAACAGTTGTGTTCTTTATTTATTTCAACTTTATTTACATAAAATACATGTAAAAACCATGGGCCATGGGAAAACAGGAGTGTCCTTTGGACTCCCTGACCAAAATTAAGATAGAAATGTCCCTTTCAATAAATAATGCATACCAACAAAATAACAATGATAATAATTGTAACAAAAAATACTGATAACAATAATTGTAACAAAATAGTAACAATGAGATAATAAAGTAATGCAAAATGTAAAGTAATATATGATAATAAAGTGACACAAAGACTTAAATGATCAAAGAAGTAACAGTTCTATACTGAAGACATTGCTGCATTTCTCCCCAGTATCAGCCCCAGCGGGAGAAGCAGCTATCAGGATCCATGGTATAAACTAGCACACCTGCACGACTATGGCTTTATGTTATCATACACAGGCACAGTAACAAGGGGTAGGGTGAAGGAATGTGAGAGAACAGTGGCACTCGTTGGATGGAAAACTGGGCTTAATCAAGTTAATGCACATCATGCAGGGCTCAAAATCCTTTTTACCGCACCGGAGCAGCTAACACTGAAAATTACCTGCACCAGGCAACTTTTACCTGCACCACTCAAACTGTGAGAAGTATGGTTCACACTAAAAACTGTTAAGAAATCTTTGTCATTACTTGTCTTATACTTCACAGGTGGTAACAGTGAATGCAGCAGATAGAATTCCACATACACCTACAAGTATATATATATCATTAACTTTGCATGTATGTAATACACTAAACCTAGCACATCGTTCAGTGCAGGTACCTGGTGTTCGGGGGAAGGTTCTGAATGATTGTGTAACATGGGCTTAACACTATAACAATAACACCCTTCAGCTATAATATCCACATATACCGGTATCCTCTGTACTGACAGTTGTTAACAGAGTGTTAACGCCATCCTGTATTCTGTACTGTCTGATACACAGATGAGGCAGCAAAGGAGGCCCTAACAGACATGCCACCCAGAGCAGAGGAGGAACTAGACCCGGTGACCCTGCACAACCAGGCCCTGATGAACATGGATAACAACCCCACGCAGGGCTTCGAGAAGCTACAGTTTCTCCTGCAGCAGAACCCCTTTCCTCCGGAGACCTTCGGAAACCTGCTGCTCCTCTACATCAAGTATGAGGTCAGGAGGCTGGGCTGTTGTTGTACTTGGTTGCCATCTTCATTATTGATGAGTATTTGAAGGCACATTCAAACTTGACTAGCTGAAACGTCTGTCCGTTTCCAAAATCATATCCAGTTGCTTGAGTAACTGCTTTTTGGCGTATCTTATTACCTGGATGTCTAACCTTCATCGACGCACATTCAAACACTTGTCTAAGATTAAGCTCAGGGGGCAGAGGAAATAGAAGCGTTCTTAGAGAGGTGGCCTTGGTTGTTATGGCCTGATGGCTAGCTTACAGAGGTGGTCGCTCGGTAAAGTTTAACTGTACAATGTACATGGCAATATAAGTCAGATAGGACTGGCCATGTTCAATGTTACATAAGGATGAGCTTAAAGAGAGGAGAAAGTAACCAAAAACTACACTGAAGGTAGCTCTGAACTTTTTTGTTTTGCCTGTTACAACAGGTGTCTGGAAAGAATGGACTTAATGATTTGTTATTGTTTTAAAAAGTTGCAGCTAAGATTCTCATGTATACTGATTTCTGTACCCTTCGCAGTATTATGACTTGGCAGCAGATGTTCTTGCAGAGAACGCACATCTCACATACAAGTACCTCAGTCCTGTAAGTACATGTAGAATGCATATTTGTGTACCATCTTGGTGATCAAATCAATTACTGGTTTTATAAAACCAAAGCATATCAATGTCCAATACCATAGAGGCTGTCTCCACATGTATATTGTCTCCACAAAGGAGGTCCATGGCCTGGACCAGATGTCTGTCACCATGGTAACTGGTGCTGTAGCAGACAACCTTTGTTGTTTGGTTACATTATGTAGCAAGACAGAGTTGGAGAGGTTGGCCACTATATACATGTATATGAATGCATTAGTATGTAAGAATAAACAGCTAGAGCAGTAATTTGTTAGGCTAGACCATCTGGAGGTAAACATGTACATTCTACTAGTGTTTGATATGTTGTTGCTATTGACTTCAGTTGTACTAACCCCAGTGTTTGTTTTTTTTCCTTCCAGACTCTGTATGACTTCATGGATGCAGTAATCACCTGTCAGACAGCACCAGAGGAGGCCTACAGAAAGTTAGATGAGATGGCATCCAAGCAGACTGATCAGCTCAGGAAACTCACCAAACAGGTACATGTACATGTAGGGCACGGTGTCACCAGAAACAGAACTTTGTCTATCCTTGGTGTATTTGAATCACTCAACCAGGTCCAGAAAAAGATGGAAACCAAATCAAATATAAAGTCAAAGTTCAAATTTTGCAGCCATTTTTGCAGGTACAAAATGCATTCAGTCTCCATTTTCATACTGTTATCATTACATAGAATATAAATGGATTAAATGGTGAATGGGCCCTGAGAATACCCTTGTATCTGTGTCTGTATAGCCGGTATAACAGCTGGCTACACTTGTACATTACACCAAAAGACTTGTTACACCTAACCCTTGAACATCTAACTCTCAACGTTGTTTAAAGCTATCTAATGATAATGCCTTGTGTTTGAATACTGAAGACTTTTTTTGTTCTGGAAATGTGCAGGTACAAGAGGCCAGGCAGAATCACGATGATGAGTCTGTGAAGAAAACTGTCAACGAGTATGATGAGGCGTTGGAAAGGTGAGTGTTTGAGTTATTTCCAGGACAAGGCTCAGGAATTGAAATACATGACTTTTTGTCAGCCAAAAGCTCAGTTGCCTATCAGTACATTTGTATTACAGATTGCTGTCAACACCGGTTGTTAATTCTAGAAGCCAAGCCACAAGCTAGGCCACTTGTAAAGATGTTGCTCACATGGTAGCTGTTGCAGGACATAATGTATTATAGAAACCGTAACCGAATGTTCTGTCCATATACCCAAATGTGTTATAGCCAAACAGTAACCGAACTGGCCAAACACCAGCTGATGTTCTTATGAAGCAAGCTTAAACTGTAATTTCCAGCACAACAAATTGGACCAAAACTCCAGTCTTTGTCAAGGAATGAGCAATCCACCGCTTCCGTGACGCCATGCAGGTAACACACGTGACTCCGTGAGCAGTGGATCATAGGTTGCAGAAAGCCCCCCGTCTCTGTTGAGGGATGGTTGGATGATGTTGCTTCCGACCTACTTCTAAACACTTCTGAAGCATGGTGGACAGTGTTTGGGAGGCCAAATTCTGCTATGTGTGATAGTGTCTTAAGGTACATCACAATATTTTCCGTTCCCAGGTACATCCCCATCCTGATGGCGCAGGCCAAGATCTACTGGGATCTGGTTAATGATATAATGTTGTATTTTATGTGTATAAGATCGAGGACTCAAGTAAGAATAGTACACAACATTACACAGCTGGAGTAAGATACATCTCAGTGTTTCCTGTTCCCAGGTACATCCCCATCCTGATGGCGCAGGCCAAGATCTACTGGGACCTGGTTAATGATATAATGTTGTATTTTATGTCTATAAGAGGACTCCAGGAAGAATAGTGACGTATTATCACTAATTGGAGATTCCTTAAATAAACAAACAAACAACCACTGGACTACACATGCTACCTCACAATGTTTTCTGTTCCCAGGTACTATCTGAAAGTTGGTGATTCACTACAGACTCCAGGAAGAATAGAGTACAGTAGAATTTACACTTAATGGAGATCACAATCAAACAAACAATTTTGTACAAAATTACACAGCCGAAGTAATTGGTGTCACTGGGCTACTGATCCACAGATGTCATTGTTACTAGGGGCTGCCCCCTAGCCTTCTATATTTAGATTGTTATTGTAGGAAATGAGGACCAGATGTAGGGAGGGGGTAAGAGAGGAGAGACCCTGGGAATCCAGGAGTCGAGCAGAGAGAGACGAATAAAGACACCCTGAGAGAGAACTTGCCGGCTCCCGACTCCTTAATATTATTTCGTCCGTGACAAAGTATAAGATACATCCCAGTGTTTTGTGTTCCCAGGTACATCCCGATCCTGATGGCGCAGGCCAAGATTTACTGGGATCTGGAGAACTACTCGCAGGTGGAGAAGATCTTCCGCAAGTCCGTGGAGTTCTGCAACGAGCACGAGATGTGGCGCCTCAACGTCGCGCACGTCCTCTTCATGCAGGAAAGCAAGTTCAAGGAGGCCACCGGCTTCTACGAGCCAATCGTCAAGAAGCACTACGGATAATGTAAGAAGCACTACGATAATGTAAGAAACACTACGATAATGTAAGAAGCAGCAGACAGGTTGTTGTGGAAGATGTATTGTAAATGTTGTTAAATGTTGTTCAAGGAGGCCACCGGCTTCTATGAACCAATTGTCAAGAAGCACTACGATAATGTAAGAAGCAGGGGACAGGTTGTTAAGGAAAATGTGCCGTAAATGTTGTCATGTGAAGTAATGGATTGTCCTTGATGAGTATTCGTTCATTTATTTGTTTATTCCAACAAATTTATTTCATCTGGAGTTCTTGAGTCCTCTCCTCTACTGCACTAGAAAAGTCCTGCAGTTGTATTCAGTCTTCATATCTTCTTCCACTGTGTCTTATGCCTCCCACGCTCACTTAGCTCTTGGAGTTTCTTTTCTCATAGGAAGGCATAGCCCTTCTCTGTACTTCAGGTTCCCAATCAGCATGCTGAGCAGATTGACACAGTGTCTTCCTAAATGCGTCCCCTGTATCTAGATCTGCTGCCTAAAATTGAAAATTCCAAGGCCTTTTGTTTCAGTGTGTATTGTTGCATTCTACTAAGAATATGTCCAAACAGAGATCCCCTGAGTTGCTCAACTTTTGTAGGGAGAGTTGTTGAACACAACAACATGAGTGAATTACAGAGAATCCCACCACCATGGGCTAACAAGCAGTTTTATCTCCTCCCATAGATACTGAATGTGAGTGCGATAGTGCTGGCCAACCTCTGTGTTTCCTACATCATGACGAGTCAGAACGAGGAGGCAGAAGAACTAATGAGAAAGATTGAGAAGGAGGAGGAACAGGTTGCCTATGACGACCCTGATAAGAAGATCTACCACCTCTGTATTGTCAACCTGGTTATTGGGTGTGTATGTCTAAACTAAAGTATTATGCAGACAGCACTAGTAGATACACATATTCAGTCAAACTTGCCCAAGCCTCTACCTCTATGACTTCATGTATGAGCTGGCCATAGCAATCACTTTTTCTTGGTGCTAATTTTTTCCTTGATCCCATGGTTTGACAAGTTTGACTGTAATTCTGATGGAATCTTTGTACATGTTATCTATGAATGTTTATTGATAAATACAAATGAAAAGTGAAATGTTTTCTTTGATTGCAGGACACTTTACTGTGCCAAAGGGAACTATGAATTTGGCATCTCGAGAGTTATCAAAAGCTTGGAACCCTACAATAAGAAGGTAAGTCACCAATGGAGTTCTTTTTCTACAAGATACATTTTACATTTATGTGGTCATGAATAAACATAAAATTTGAAGGCCATCATGAGAAAGCATCTTCTTTCTTGGCCAACTTTATCACTATCACTTTTCAACTTATAGTGGTATGTGTTGCTAATAGTGTCGAGACATGACCCGAACATTGCTCCAGTGAGCTGCATATTTAACATGTTCTTCTTTTTTTCCACTCCAGCTGGGAACAGACACGTGGTTCTACGCTAAGCGGTGTTTCATGTCCCTGTTGGAGAACATGGCCAAACACATGATCATGCTGAGGGACAGCATCGTACAGGAGTCCATCCAGTTCCTCGAACACTGTGAAGGTTTGTACAAAAACATCAGTGTGACATGAAACCTTACTGCAAACTTATTATTACCGTGAACAAGTAATTCACTGGCTTTCTTTTTGCTGCACCTGCCACCACCGCGAATATACAGTTCCAAGAACATGCCCATTTTTCTCACACTGCAAACTTTTGCTGCTGCAAACATGATTTACAGTACCTTGTTTTGTGAATTACTTGATACAATGTACTTCACTCCACAATGTGTGTATAATTATGTAATAATTTGTCAAATGGCTTGTAACTGACTGCTTACAATCACTAACCCTCAAGAAATAGTTTTAGAAAACATTTGGACAATTCTCCGTACCGTACTTAGATTTAGAGAAAAAAATGCACATTTTCTTGGAGAAGATAACCAGTAAATTTTGATGAGACACAAAGATTAGAATCTACTGTGCATCAGCTGCTGTTTGTTTCTGCTTACAACAATTTACTAACACTGATAACAATGTCTTTTCCCAGCCTACGGTAAGGATGTCCCGGCAGTGGTTGAACAGCCACTGGAGGAGGAACCGATGCACGAGGGTCGGAACACCGTCACGTTCGAGGCACGACTGCTGAAGGCTCTGTTTCTCGAGCTCCTGGCCTGAGACATTCCTGAAACTATATGTATTAGTGCTTATTATTTGCTTGACCACTTATTAACGTTGGGGGGGGAGGGGCGTTGTAGCATCACAAACACCTGTACATGTATTTGTGACACACAGTGTATTACTACCTTGAGCAGACATTCCTCTATTAAACTTTAAAGAAAAAGTTTTATTGCTGTAAGATTGTATAGAATGTATTGAGACTACAAGTTGTCTTATCCTGAGAATGTACATGTACGAGAAATATAGATAAAGTAAGTTTTTATTAGATGTAAATATGTATACGCATTTGAGAGTTCAATTAACAACAGAATGACAATACTCCATGTTATCATCATACCATTCCTACAAAGTGTGCTACTAGTATTGTGTCTTTCTCAAATAGATTGGCCCAAAATTTCTGAATACCAGTTTATTCTAGATGCTTCTCAATGATATGTTTTCTCGGTGACATTTACCATCACACAGGTTCTACAAGTAGAACTGTATCTATCTAAGGTAACTCTGTGTAGTTTAGACCAAATAAAGGCAATTTGATCTGTGAGACGCTAGAAAACAAGTGTACATGTACCTGTCTGATCATTCACAGCAAGGATTGCATAGTCAAGCTATCACTTATACAGCAATTCAGATGGCTTTATGTTCAAAGAAAAATCTATGTCTATATAGTAGTGATCTTCATCTCTAAGGGATTTCATTTTTTATTAATATGCCGCAGTATAATGGCAGGAACAACTGTAGCAGGCTAACAGGGTGTTTACATGTGATGTCACAGCCAACAGGTACATGTATATTGCTTTAGGGCAATGTGTACTTCTGTCTTCCTGTATAAAAAGGTTCATTTAGTCCCATATAACTGAGCAAAATGGTAACTGGCCAATGGACACTGCCTAACCATTTTTGATTCTGTCTTTGAAGCCACCAAAAGATCTGCTTGGAGATACATTTGTACATGTAATATCCCATACCCTTTTGGTGAAAATAATTGATATGCAACATAAACTTATTAGCATTCCATATACAATCAAGGAGGTTGTATTTAACCTCCGTGATACAATCAAGTATAATATTTCAGCCTAGTATGAAGTAGGCAATTAGAATCGGCAACTCTTGAAAAAGGTAGTAGATTCACCATCGTATGCATAGAAAACACCTAATTGGTCCCTTCACTCGTCAGTTCGGGACATTTATTTTCTCCCGACCACAGTGTATAGTGCAGTCCCCTTTCAAACCGCGTGATGGCGCTGTCGTCTGTCGTGTACTCAGCTGCAGTGCCGTACCCTGTCACATACACAGCTCTGGGCTTTTTCTACGAAAAAGATAACATGGTATACATGTAACATGGTGGTGTATTTCATAGCGTAATTGATAACAAATTCCACGATTTGAATTTTAAAAAAACATGGATGAATTAATAAACAAAAACAACACTTTTCAATATAACTCACCTCGCGGCTTTTCGAGTAGGCTGAAATCTCATCAAACTGAAAGGAAAACGAAAACGATGACAAATCGATAATTGTAAAAGTGTAATAAGAGATCCTTTATTGGCAACATTTTTTATATTTACCGAAGGAAACATATTGTTTTTGCTCTGTTTCTTCCTCTTCTTCCATTCCAAACACTAACCTCTGACCTGGCCAATGACCTGATTTGTTGACGTCTCTCAACATGGTAACTGGTATTGGGCTACATCATGTTGCAATTTTATAGTAAGAGGGATTTATACTCCTGTCTGACCATATACATGAATATATTTGAGTAAGAATTAACAGAGAAGACTATATGCGAAGGTAAACATTGTGCATTTGCTTTGAAAATGTTATCTTTCTAGTTTATTCAAAATTTTAGCCTTAAGTGTCATAACTTTATGACATGATACATCAAAAGTTTGATCATGAAGAAGTTAAAACCATTGTTGCTGTAGAAGTGATGTAATATAACTTGTAATCTAACGTTATTAAGTCAATCATAGTATATTGCACAAAAATTAACAATCAACATTGTCAAAATAAACAACGAAAAATTGTCATTACATAAACATGTTGAAATAAAAAAGAAAGAAAGCATCGACAATTGGCAACGTTTCTGGAATTTAGAGCAAGCTTATAAGGCAACTTTCATCAGGTTGGTAGAGTGTAGGGTATACTTTTAGGGGTTTTCTTTTACACAACCAAATTATTCCTACTTTGCTTACGTTTCGCAAAAGCGTCACCTATATTGGCTACATATAGCGGCAAGAATCAGACCTCCAGTCAGAATCTCTGAGGAAGGTGTCTGATAGACGCCGAAACGTAACCAAGGTAGGAATAGTTTGGTTCTGTAAAAGAAAACCCCTATATCCTAAGCTTAAGGCAAATCCTCAAATGTACGCCGGAAAGAAAGATCGTGTGGGGTCGTGTGGCGCAGCGGCAGCGTTCTCGACTCGGAACCAGAGGCCCCGGGTTCGAGTCCTGACATGCCACCGATCTTGTGCCCTTGGGAAAGGCACTTTACACGACTTTCCTCACTTCGCTCAGGTGTAAATGAGTATTGTACTGTCCCTGTGTTGGTGACGGCATTAATATAAGTTGAATAAACTTGAGTATGTCGTCACCACGTCTTGTGATTACATGTTTCGGAATAAAAGAAAAGAAAAAAAAGAAAGATCGTACCGATGCGTGCCACTGTGAAGACGGGGTCCGGCCGTCCACGACCACGGTCGGCGCCGAGAAGATCTTGTCGTACAACTCCGGGTTGAACCCGGAATCACCCGAGAACCCCAGGATCAGTTCGTCCTTGTAATAAAGCAAAAATCCTGGAATATCAGGAAAAGAAATTTATTCTTTAATTACATAATTTGTATAAGGCCTATATATACATATACCATAATAATTTTGGGATATACGTGAATCTGGGCTGTCTTCCCCCATACAGACCTACATGATTAGCTCCCGGCCAGATTCTGAGACGGTCATTCCGCCTGTCAATCTTCACCCTTCCACCCACGTGTTCTCAACATATACTCTGTCCAGACAGACGCATTTATACACAAGCCCACAAATTGCTACTCTCCAAGCAGAGGTTGTGGGGAATGATCGTTACCTTTTTTATATATGGCCGTTTTTTTTTTGTCCTGATCCCCCCTCCGGGTTTTGTATTGTTACAATTTAAAATCAAATGTACAAATAAAATCAAAATCAGAGGCTTTATACATCAACTCTAACAGTGCCCGTCGGTGGCTAATGGAGCTTCTCTGGCTAATGGATACTGTCTGGCCAATTTGATACTGTCTTTTTGCCTCCGAGAGGGATCTGCTTGGAGATTAACAAATTGCCCTATTGTGGTGACGAGTCTGTTTCATTTCAGATAAAACAGAATGATAAAGTCTCCATATACCGTAGCATGGTATGTCGTGCTGGCTCTCGACTGCCTGGAGTTTGAAATTCTTGACGTCATCAAGATAGATGGGGTCACCCTCGGGGTCACAGATCAGCCAATCAGCAATGTCATCCTATAAACATTGATGGGGAGATACAATAATACTAATATGAAGATATTAGCTATTTAAAAGTGGTAAATGTATATCCAGGAATGCATACAAATATACCTATAAACATTGATGGGGAGATACAATAATACTAATATGGAGATATTAGCTATTTAAAAGTGGTAAATGTATATCCAGGAATGCATACAAATAATTTGTGCAGCGTCATTTTGTCTTCAGCAAAACATACTGCACTGTGATCAAATGTAAGAAGACATTACACTGGAAGGCTTTCAGCACCGAGGACAACAATAAAGGGGCGATTGGAACGGGCAATAAATCAACGACAAGATATTATTACTAATCGGATCGTCATATACCTCAAGTAAAGAATTCACATGCTTTCTTTAGCGTTCCAGCATTGGTACCGTGGAAGTACTGAAAATGTAACGTTAACAGGAGTGGAAGGCGTTTAGCACCAAGGAAAGTGGACATAAAACTATATGCTATAATTTCCTATACCGTCGGTTTGGTAGGTGTGGACTTACAGGTTTCATCTGATATGCCATCTCGCTCAAACGATGGATTTTGAGCGGTTCCAGAACTTTCGGTCCGCAGAGGAGCTTGACTCTCGGCTTGCCGGCCAGCAGACGCCGCTGGGCGGTTCCTCCCAGCACCAGGGGCAGCTCTCCCGCGTGGTCACTGTGGTTGTGCGTCACGAACATCGCGTCTGGGAACTTCTCAGGAGCTGTGGAGAAACAGATGATTGGTTCATTATAAAACAAGTTTGAACTGCAAGTTCCAATACAATAAATTGGACTTACCCAAATTTTCGACGGTACATTTCCAGTGTGCTTTGTCAGGGAATGAGAAATCCATCGCTTCCGTGACGTTCCCTCACAAAGACTGGAATTGTACAGTCGAAAATTTGGGTACGTTCAATTTCTTGTGTTGGAAATTGCAGTTCAAACTTGTTTCATGCTCCTGTGTTACTTCTACCAACACAGATGAACTTGCAATATATGATTAGTTCATGTTGCAACTGGACTTTTTTGATACTGCTACAAATGGTAGAACTTAATATATTATTTCTCAGGATGTGTTAGGAAATGTTGAAATAAGTTGATTGGTTCATGTTGAAAACTTTTTTATACTACTAAAAATGGTAAAAGAAAACTACCTAAAATCACCCATTTGTTTCCAACGTTCTATCAAGAAGAGAAAAAATCTGAGAAAGGCCTATCCTTTCCCGTTCAAAGTATGATGCCCCGGCACAGTGAGACAAGTAACGTTATTTCAAAGCTGGTTGGCCGATAGGCGAGGGCACAACGGACAGCAAGAAACGAGACAGTATGGAGGACAATGACGGCCCACCTTAATGTTCTACATTGACATGTAGCAATGATGATTACGATGACCTACCTACCAACCTACCGACCTACCTACCTACCTACCTACCTACCTACCTACCTACCTACCTACCTACCTACCTACCTACCTACCTACCGACCTACCTACCTACCTTCCTACCTACCTACCGACCGACCTACCTACCTACCTACCTACCTACCTACCTACCTACCGACCGACCGACCTACCGACCGACCGACCGACCGACCTACCTACCGACTTACCGACCGACCTATCTACCTACCTACCTACCTACCTACCTACCGACCGACCGACCTACCTACCTACCTACCGACCGACCTACCTACCTACCTACCGACCTACCTACCTACCTACCGACCTACCGACCTACCTACCTACCTACCGACCTACCGACCTACCGACCTACCTACCTACCTACCTACCTACCTACCTACCGACCGACCTACCGACCTACCGACCTACCGACCTACCTACCTACCTACCTACCTACCGACCTACCGACCTACCCACCTACCTACCTACCTACCTACCTACCTACCTACCGACCTACCTACCGACCGACCGACCGACCAACCGACCGACCGACCGACCTACCTACCTACCTACCTACCTACCTACCTACCTACCTACCTACCGACCT